GATACTACACGTGAACAAACACCTCTTTGAACATTTTTCAAAACCAACACTTTGTACGCATTCTTATAGAGACGAGAATCATTACAAAGACGTTTTCAAAATATTTTCAAACCCACACCACAAAACACATTTTCAAACAAAGCAAGTGATCTAGAAAGCAACTAAGAGCCCGTAGATGACTACAGATGAAAAGGGTGATAACACCTTCCCTTTTCATAACCTACCCCCGAACTCAAGAAAACATCTCTAAAGGTATTTCCTGTTCTTTTCACCATTTCCTTATTGGATAAAAGAAAAATCGGTGGCGACTCTTGCTATCCGCAACAGTTGCGACCAAATGCAAAATAACCAAGTCAGTTCTCCCACCGTATTACACTAGGTATTACTCCTTTTCAGTCTGGAGTTTAGCAATGATCATTCTCTTTTGTTGCACAGTTCCTTGTAAGGGGTAGTCAGTTCTTCATAAGATATTTCTTCACTTCTGAAGTCTACATTAGAATTCTATCTTCCTATTAAGGCAGTCACAAGCTTAACAGAGTCTCATAGGATTTATCATCTGACCAAGAAACAGTCAGTCTCTTAGGTTGTCTTTTGAGATAACAGGGAAATTTTACTCTAATATTCTCAAATCCTTCACATACCTAACATTGAATCTCTTTAATATAACTAGGTATTTCTTCAGTTCTGAATTTATTTTGAGAATCATAGTTATTGTTGATGTCAGATGAGATGTTCTTGACATTTGGTCTTCCATTCCTTTCCAATCTCTTCAAAATTTTATTGAATTGCTTCCTAAGTCACACAATGGTATCTGACAATCTTTCCATAGAATCCACAGTACCATAAATTATTTTCTCCCTATAGCTCACCCAAAATAGAACAAGATGCCTGCTCTAATACCAATTGAAATTTTGGCACTATAAAAACAGATGTCAAGACTGATATCTCAACACCAAACACACAAATTTATGACAAATGTTAAGACATTATCTATCTGATATAGCAATTTGCAGAAGTTATGAATTATGCAGAAACTAAATTGCTAATGATAAAATAACACAGTCAATTGTTAATTCAGTTCAGTGCAACGTCACCTAGTCTAGGGGATACCAAGCCATGAAGGAAAATCACTATGATAGTATTAGTTTAAAGTTAAACAACCCTAGTTTACAACTTATCACTTAATCATTACCTTGTGTTATTTCTACCTAGAAACCCTCTAGATATAATATCCTCATTTCACTTTCCACAATTACCTCATTGATAAAACCAGTGACAAGAAACAAAATAGAAGATTACAATTCCAATAAATAATACTCAACTCTTTGCTTAAAAGCTCATGAGTGAGAATAATAACTTGATACACCATCAAATCTTTGCTTAAAAGCTCGTGAGTGATTGTCAAGTAACAATAAATAATCATTCTACCTCAATGTATCAAAAGATACATGGGTGACACACAAAAACACAAAAACTCTAAGAGACTCCCAAAACCCAAAACCCTTATACACCCACAGTTTATTGTTGTGAATGCTTGCTATTTTAGATTTAGCAAATCCTTATTTATAGACTCTTGCAGAATGGGCTTGGACACTTGTCATCAAATCCAATCTTCTAATTTTAAATCAGCTGCAAGATCTTCAATAAAAATGAGAACCAATCTTTAAAGTTTTCTAAAAAGTATCAAAGATCCCTTTTAATGAAACCAAATCAAATTTGCATTGATCCTAATAAAATCTTCTTGATCTGTGAAAATAAGTGAGATATACTCAAGAAGAGCTCACAAAATCAAATCTATCAAAAAAAAATAACAGCAGCTCCTGCTGTACAGTTGGCCAAGATGTCAAGACATCTGGCTTAACATATGTCATATATTCATGACAGCAGAACCTGTCATGACAGTTGGTCAAGATGTTGTGACATCTTGCTCAACATCAGTTAAGAACCATGTTTTAGTAAAATTTATGTCAATCATAAAGCCATCGATCTAACACACAGGTACCACTGTTTCGGGTAGAAAATCGCATAATTCAAAATGACGTTAACTTAAGCTCGATAACTTTGTTTGACGCATGATTCAAAGTTTCGGAAATTTAATGCGTGGTACTATCTCATGGTGACTCCTTAAGAGTTTGAATGTGATGTATTAATGTTAAATTATTTGATGATGCATTGATTGTTGTAGATGCCTTAATTGTCTATATGGGAGTTGTTTATATGAACGTTGTAATTGTCGATTTCCGAGTTTTTTTGGTTGTTTGACTACTGTTAGCTGCTTCTTGGGACTATTTTGATGTAATTGATGATTAAAAATGTAATTTAATCGATTTTGTGAAATATTTGACGGATGGTGAATATGTGAAAATGTGTTGATAATGTCGTGTTAAGTTGTTATGTGTATTGTCGAGTACTTGTTGTTGTGTGAGAATAGTTATGATTAATGTGTTGTTGTGTGTATGAGAAAATAACTCGATTGAGGAGATTTATTTAACAATTGTGTTGTGCTGACTTCACTTGTGTTGTGTATTTGTGATTGTGATTGTGTGGTAATTCGAAGAGGGGACTATAAGAGTTGTTGGTGTATTATGTTAGGATCAAAGAGGGGTCTTAACACGTTGATATTGATATATATGAGTCATATATCATTTAAGTTGTGTCAAGAGGTATGTTCGCTAGTTTAGAGGGGACTAGTGATTTGACCTAAGCTCAGAGAGAACCAAATATCGAGTTGGTATGATATGCATATGCAGCGAGTTGCATAATCGAATTGCATTACATAAATGAGTTGTATGTGTAATATATGTTTGGTGTGTGATTGTGAAGTTGGGTGTGATAAAGTGTTGTGAAATATTGTGTGCAAATATCTGTAGAATATATGTGTTTTATACTCTATCTTGTAGTATGTACCGCTTACTTTTTTAATGTGATTTCTCACTCCTTCGTTGTTGTTGTTGTTGTTGTTGTTGTTTGTGCTCCTCTTTGGAGTACAGATAAGATAACTGAGTAGCTGCTCTAGAGTTGAAGGAAGACATGATGTTGTTTCTACATTTTTTGTGTGTTTAGTTTACGTGCTTTGACATGTAATACTAGGGAACGTTTGTGAGTTTTTTCTAATCTTTTTGTTAGGGGGTTAATATATACTCTCATATTTGATATTTCTATGTTTTGAAGATATTTCACTTATGATTTTGACTACGCCATAATGTGTAATTGAAGTGTAAATAATTTTAATAATTTGATTAGTACATGCTTTATTGTTAGAAATTCTGCTGCGATAATACCTTAAGAGAGGGTGACCATGTGATGACACTCTAATTAAAGGTGTTGATTGATGTTTGATATGATAAAGTGTTACATGACATATATGTTTTAGAAAAGAGAATGTGTGACATCTTATTTATTATATGAAATACTTTTAATTACAACATTCTTACGAAAAATAAAACACACAAATACATGTGTCCTCCAATAACCACTAATAAGTGAATTTGATATAAATAATAATAGCAGAAATGGAAAGTTCATAACAGACAAAAAAGTAAAACACACAAATATGAAACAAAACAAGGAATCTAGAAGTTTTATGATCGTAATTGTCACTACTGGCTGGCCTAATCTTCTCATGTTGTAATTCTCATTGCTTGTTTGCATTTCTTTTCATTTTCTGCTTTGTTTTTCTTTAGCTTTTCGGGACATTTAAACATCTCTTATGCATAGTTTAAATCTCTTAAATGGTCTTGAATTTTTATTCTTTTTAATATTCTTGAAATAAAACGAAAATGACTAAACGGTAGTGATATGATGGTAAAATTAAATTTAACAATGCAATTAAATAGTAAAAGTAGTTAATTCATGTTATTCTTCCAAATAATATTTCTATATATTCATCAAACTAAAACTCATTAATTCTTTTAATCGAAATAATATAATGATAGTGCTAGTTTTTTACTCATAATTTTAATTAAAAATAAAAAGATAAAAAAAATGTTTTTTATGTTCATTAATATTACTACAAGCCCACTTAATAATTGAGAATTGAGACAAGACAAATATGTGCATGTTGAAAAACATGGTAAATTAAGCTGCATCATATGCTGTTTTGACCATATAAATAATTGTGACACGACACTTAAAACTTTGCCTAAAATGTAGAATTCACAACCAAGCATGACCACCACAATATGCAGTTGAATAAAGCAGGGGAATCTTATTGTGTTTGTATGTAAGACTTTGAGTTTGTAGTCGGTGTGGGGTGGTATGGCATTGTTGCAATAATCAATTTTTGACTTAATTTTCAATGAAAAGGAGACCAAGGTAGCAATGCTAGGACCCCTATGAAACCCTATAGTGATAAGTACCAAATATAATAAATTAATTGTTAGCATATATATCTCTTTTTTTTAGATAAATCATTAACTTTTTCTCTAAAAAAGAACATCACTATCATTTGAAGGTAGCATAGCATGGCAATGCAATGGTTCCATAATTTATCCACTTATCATATTCTTCACTAAAAGACACATTTGTACACAATAGCCAACTGGCAATTGTGATTCATTCACATATTAAGATCAAATAAAAGCCAAAAGGATTGTGCAATTGCACACAATCATTGCCGTGCCTATTCAATAGGGGGGAAATTGTCTTTAAATGATTGTCAGTTTCAATTTTTAAAATGATAATAATTCTAAATTTTATAATTATATTATATAAAAATAGAAAACAAAAATGCATCACTACTATTTTAAATAACAAAATCAATTATCTTAAAAACTTTATAAGAAAGTTTATTATTTTATCTTTTATTTATAAAATTTTCTATGGTCAAATAAACCTGTTACTGTGGGACTAAGGGAATCATAATAAGGACAAGAGTAAGAGGATATACATATAGCAGTTACCTCTAAGACTTGTACCACTCTATCATCTTTCTCTTGATCGCTAATATTGAGAAGTAGAAAGAAAGAAAGAAAGAAAGAAGAAAAAAAGTTGAAAATTGAATGGATAAATCTACCTCACAATATAGTAATGCTAGTGAATCTGGGTGGACTCACTACTTAGACGAATCCTCTATTTCAGAGAGCTATGTCGAAAGAAAAAGTGAGAATGTAGAGTATGAAGGAAAGAGAACAAGAATGAATGAGGAAGAGAAGTTTGAAGAAGATTCATCAATGGTTTCTGATGCTTCTTCTGGACCTCCACATTATGACAATGAAGAATACTATTGTGAAAATATGTATCATTGTCTTTCTTCTACAAACAAAGAATCCAACGAGAAGAAAAAAGTCAAAGAATGTGACACAAGTCAACAATCTTCACCTCTTGATGACACTGCTAGCTCCCCATTTTTCAGTTGTCCCAAGGTTGATGCTATTAATTGGCTTATCTGAACTTATTTAGTAACATTATAAATAGGATGTTGCGGGTTCGAATTCTACATGCGTAACTAACTAACTAAACTAGTTTATTTTGTTATTGTATAGAAGCAAGATAGTTTCTCAAAGAATGGAGCAATGGAGAATGCATTACAATTTTCTGAGTGTAAATTTGCAACAAGAATAAAGGTACAACAACTCTAGATCTCTTCTTTTCAACTAAAAGAACTACTTGATAGTTCAACTAGTAATTTTTTATTAATATTCATTAGTAATTATTATTGCACATTTCATTGAGTTGAGCATGATTAGGTGATATTGATGAAGAAGAAAGAAAATCGAAGACTTTAAGGTAACAATTTGGAGACAAACCAGAAGAATGTCAAAAGGAACACTTTTTATGTTTTCTTTTTTACTTTTAGTTTATTTTCAGTGCAATTTAATGTCATATTTCACACATTTTAAAAATACTGTTTTTATAATTTTATTATTAATTTTGATTATGCAGTTATTATTAATTCATTGTATAGTTGCACGCACACTCATTCAATACTTGCAAATGCTTTCATAAATAATTGGGTAAACATTAAAAATAACCTAAATATAGGTTACAAGAAAATACTTCACCAATTATCTCGAATTATAATAATGTGGGACAATCAATTAATCAAATAATGCTTTATTTAATGTTTTTTTACTTCTTACATACGTCAGGATAATCCATAATAATAAAAAAACTATTTTGTTATTATTTCTAATTTATAATCATTTTAATTATTTATTTTTTAAAAAGTATATATTTCTCTCTATAATAAATAACTAAAACTATGATAGGCGAATTTAAAATTAATGTTGCATTAAATTTATTAAATTTATAAACAAAAGATAAATATGAAAAAGAAATAATAGAATGTGCTTCGATAATATATTTTTCAGTTTGGCTTTTTCAAAAAAATAATAATGAAACAAGAAATAAAGAACGGAAGGAATACAATAATACTCCAATGACCTATAATTTTTTAACTCTACCCAAATTTTAAGTGTTAGTTTCTTAACACCATTTTGACTATTACTATTATTTTTATACACAATTTATATATGATTTTGCTTGTAAATAGCACATTTTTTAAACATTTGATTGAATTCTCATTTTAGTTTTACACTAGTCTAATCATATAGTATAATATTTATTTTCCAATCATATAATATAATATTTATTAGTCTTTTTTCCCTATTCTTTACATTACTATATTTCTTAAACAATATAAAATTAGTATAACATATTCCCTCCTTCTTAAATTACAAGACTTTAGTCATTTTTGGAATTTTTTTAAGTAATAATCATGTTTAAAAAAAATATACAAATTAACCATATTTTAGAGAAAATTATGTAAATAATCATGTTTTAGAAAATGGTATAATGCAGTAGTTATCTCAGATGGCGTATGCATTGATTTTTTTTTAAAGGAGGCGCCAAGTGAGATGGCACATAGGTGCGTGCCATTTTCCCTAAGCCATCTCAGATGGCGCCTAGGTACAATGTTTTTTTTTGTTTTTTTTGTTAAAGAATTAAAAGGCAGTGTCGTTGTAAATGAAAGTTGATTTTCAATAATAATTAAACGATTACATAATGAGAATAAAAATACACATTATTTAGTTGTCTCTAGTGACTCGATAACGACCCGTAGCTCCGCACCCGCGTTCTCGTCTAACTCGTGGTGCATTTCGACGTATTTCCTGTTGCAGTTGGATCGAGGATCCTGCAAAGTCAATGCGTTCAGGATCCATGAAAGCTGTCAAATTATCATATCTGGAAGATCCGCTTTCAAACAGTCGGTTACCCATACCCTCAAAGTTTGGTCGTATTAGTTAGGGGTGAGGTTTCATGGGGGATCGATAGCATTGGTCGTCTGAATAAGGGGGGTCAAAAGGAAATGAATCTTGTGGGGTTTGATATTGTGATTGTTGGGTGCTATGGTGATAGGATGGCTGATGGTAAGTTAGGTTGGTTGGTGAATATTCTTCAGGTTGGCCAATGTTTGGGCTAAGGTGAGACGACGAGGGGCCCACATCAGGATGTCGGATGTGTGGTCGTTGTTCTTGGTATTGTGATTGTGTGTGGGACATGTGTGGGTATTAGTATTGGTCTTGGGTTTGAGATCGGGTGCTGGTGGATATGTATCGTCGTTGTGTTTGGTGGGAGGCTGATGTGTGTTGGGGTTGTTGTTGTGTGGTGTTTGATTGTGCCTATTGTATGTGTGGGTCGATCAAATACCTCGGGTGAGATACGTTTATTTCAGGGTTAGTAATTGTTCTGGACTGTCCCGACAGCTTGACTGGGAGGAATTGTCGGGCGGGGCCCCGAATTAGAGCATCCCACTACTCGTGAGAGCTCGCCTGGCTAATTTTGATGTGCGTCACATTCTGATCGACCAAGGCAGCTTGGTGGACATCATGTACGCCTAGTTGTTCACCACTTTACAGTTAAATGAGAGTCATCTAACCCCTTACGTGGGATCAGATCTCCAGGGCTTCAATGGAGCCAACGTGAAACCTTGGGAATATGTCGAGTTGATCGTCACATTCGAGAGAGGAGTAACGGCCAGAGCCATCAAGACCCAATTCTTAGTGGTAGATTGTCCATCTCTCTATCAATGCATCTTCAGGAGACCCACTCTCGTCGAACTCATCGCGGTCCCTTTTACCGTGCATCTCAAGATGAAGTACTACACCGCCAAAGGCTTGGTCTCCACCTTCCACAGGGACATCCAAGAAGCCAGAAGGTGTTTCGAAGCTTCAGCCAAGGGCCTCAGTTCCTTCAGTGTTCAACCTCGAATGAGCACTGCAGCCACACTGCCCTCCAGCTCTGAGGAAGTCAAGCCTCTACCGAGGGTTGATACAATTGACCTCAACAGTCGCTTCTCCAAGGAAGAACGTGTTGAGAAAAGAAGGAAAGGAAAGGAGCTTATGGTCAAAGACGAAGGGTCAACCTCCTCTGCTAATCGCAACGAACACTCGAGTCACGCACGGCCCATCCTGGACAGCGACTTCGAGCTAGTTCCCCTTGGAGAAGACCCCACTAGAGGAGTAAAGATCGGAGCAGACTTCCTTGATCTGGAAAAAAGGTAACTCAAAGCTTGCCTAAGGGAGAATGTTGATTTGTTCGCATGGAGTGCGGTCGAGATGCCCGGTTTAGATATAGAGTTCGCATTCCATCACTTGACTGTAGATCCTGCCCTCAAGGTGGTCACGCAGCACAGAAGAAAGCAGTCGTCCGAGAAAGCAAAGGCTGCAGAACTAGCTGTAAAAGACCTCCTAGAGGCACATTTTATTTTTGAAGCCAAATACACAATCTGGCTCTCAAATGTAGTTCTTGTGAAAAAATCTAATGGAAAATGACGCATGTCTATTGATTATACTGATCTCAATCGAGCTTGCTCGAAATATGCTTATCCCCTCCCCAATATTGAAAAATTGGTCGATAATTTGGCAACTTTTAAATTGTTATCATTCATGGATGCATACTCGGGTTATAACCAGATCCTCATGGAAAAAACAGACAAAAAATACACCGCTTTCATGACCGAGTCAGACAACTATTACTACAATGTAATGCCCTTTGGCCTGAAAAACGTGGGCACTACATATCAGTGCATGATGAACAAAGTCTTTCGCAACGAGATAGGCGACATGCTTGAAGTCTATATGGACGAAATGATTGTCAAGTCCACCGAAGAGCTCGACCATGCCGCCCACTTAAAGAAAGTATTCGAGAAAGATTAAAAGTGTTGGATATGATTCAACCCAGAAATATGTACCTTCGACGTACGGGCAGAAAATTTCCTCGAATTGTATCTGACGGAACGAGGAATTAAGGCAAACTCCAACAAATTTCAGGAAATTTCTGAATTTTTGACGTCCACCTCAAAAAAATCCATCCAGATCTTGAACGACATGCTCACTTCTCTCTCTCAATTCATGGCAAAGTTCGTCCATCACACGCTTCCCTTGTTCAAACTCTTGCGCAAGGAAGCCACCTTCGAGTGGACGTCTAAATGCGAACAAGCCCTCGTTCATTTAAAACAAGTGTTGTTGCAGCCTCTTGTCCTCTCTCGGCACGATAAAGACAAAGTCCCCTACCTCTATCTGGTTGTCGCTTTCGAGGAAATAAGCGTGACACTGATAAGAGAGACTCCAGAAGGGCAAGTGTCAATTTACTTCACGAGCAAGGCCCTGCATGGCCCAGAGGCAAGATATCAACAAATCGAAAAAGTAGCTTTAGCCCTCGTTAACACAGCGAGGAGACTCAGACACTACTTCCTGGCCCACACCATAGTGGTCCGGACAGATCAACAAATAAAACAACTACTCGGAAGACCGTACATGGTCGGCAGAATGTTGAAATAGTCCTTGGAGCTCTCTGAATTTGATATCCAATACGAGAGCACGAAAGCCCTTAAGGCTCATGCCTTGGACGACTTCATAGCTGAAATGACCTCGCCCGCAGATCCCGAAAGATCGTGTCGTTGGACGATCTTCATCGACGTCGCCTCCAGTTCGACCGGAAGTGGCGCGAGCATCATACTGGAAAACGAGGAAGGGACCCTAATCAAATTCTTCCTCACCCTGTCTTTTCCAACCTCCAACAACCAGGCCGAATATGAGGTGTTCCTCACAGGTTTACGACTGGCCGAAGATCTGGGAGCCGAGGAAGTGAAAATCTTCACTGACTCTCAGTTGGTCACCTCTCAAGTCCGAGGTAAATATCAGGTCAAAAACGACAAACTCGTCGAATATTGGGCTCTGGTCCAGGAGAGAAAAGGAAATTTAAATTTGTGTATGTACAGCATGTTCCCCACGAGCACAACGCATGCGCAGATATCTTGTATAAGTTGGTGAGCACAAAGAGAAAAGGAGGGAATAAATCGGTGAAACAGGAAATACTTCCCCGACCAAGCACCCAAACCTATGTTCTGCCTTAGAAGTGTTCGCCATCGGGGACAGCAATTGTTGGATGACCCCCGTACACGACTACCTCACTAAGGGAAAACTCCTCGACGACCCGAAAGAAGTGGCCGTTGTCAGAAAGAGAGCTTGCTCATACGTTTTGGTCGAAGGCAAACTTTACAGAAGAGGATTTTCCATTCCACTTCTCAAATGTGTCGACCGAAGCGGGGTAGAGCGTGTCTTGCTCGAAATCCACGAGGGCATCAGCGGCCAACATCTAGGCGGGAGATCCCTTGCGAGAAAAGCCTTACGGGCAAGATATTACTGGCCCACCATTAATTATGATGCGAAAGAGCACATGAAGAAATGCGATAAATGCCAACAACACGGGGACATGCATTTAG